TATAAATGCAGCCTTTTGTAATTGGAGCTTTGCTTTTTTTTAATGTAAATAGCAAAACATATCTTTTATTAGTGAATTGATTTCTTTGTTGCTTTTCTTCTTCATTTTTCTTTTCTTTTTTCTTTTTTTTTTTTTTCGGCAAATTAATGTAAACTGAAATGTCTGTGAATTTTCTCGTTTTGCATGAACTTGACAATTTCAGGATTATTGGTCATATATTTTGTGGAAGAAACATATAGCATGTGAGAATGGAATCTGTGTCATCTCTCTGCACAAATCTAGTTGCCTGGTACACTTGTTTGACTTTTTTGTTTGTTTATGTTGAAAAACTTGTATCATTGTGGGTTATTATGATTTTCATGAGAACCTTCTTTCTTTTTGGCACTATAAGATGGATCTAGCTCCAACAAAAACTTTTTATTCTACAATTAAGGATTAGGCATAAACTGATGGAAAGGAAATGTAAACATTGAGTTAACTTTGGGTGACAGAGTTATTGGTCATAAGGGGAAAGAGGAGGAAAACATAGGAGAAAAGAGAAGGATGTAGCAGAGCCCAAAGAAAAGCTTTGACCTGAGCTCCAGGTTTGCTTAAGTCTCTCCCCATTGACTATTCTAAATTCCATTTTCCTATGCAATTCATAGATTTGTTTTTATAATTTTTATTATGTAAACAATAATTTTGTATCTTCAAAAATATTATATCATGACTTTGAGGAAGAAACAGATGCTGCATATACAAAGAATATATCCTCAAAATATGAAAAAGTAGGTTTTTTATTCTTTCGCTTGCTGGCTGTGGGATCTCTGGTAAGGTTTAACCTCACTGGGCCTTACATGACTCCAAATGGTCATAAGCACACAGATAGAGAGAAAGACAGTGGAACACAGCCAGAGAGTAGGATTACAATGAATAGAAATGTTAAGTGTGCAATATAAGAGAAAGCATATAATAACAGTATGTGCAATTGCGTCCGTGTCAGCTCCCTGCACAAATTTAGTTGTCTGGTGCACTGACCTATCCATTGACTTTTTTAAAAACAATTTTGAGGGAAGCTAACATCAAAGCAGTGCTTGTGCCTATAAATTTTGCTGAAAGAAAAGTTACTACATATGCTTACCTTGCTCCAAAGACTCAGGCTTGTCTGGTTTTCAAGAGCAACTTTTTATTTCAGGCAGGGTAAACGTTGAACAGAAACCAATTTCTCCTCGTATAAATATTTTCATTTTAGAAGTCTTGCAAGATGAGGTTGAGGGGGAAAAGATGAAAAGGAGTGAGAAATACTTCAAAACTTTTTTCAAGGTTTATTCCAGATCAAAGACAAGATAAAAGGTTAAGTTAAATGTTTTTCCAGCACTACTCATATGTATACATTAGAAAGCTAGAAGCCCCCAAAGCATGTAATGTATACATTAGCTCAAGGAACTAAATTAAGCAGGTTTCTGAGAGTGCGAAAGGAACATCTTTATCTGCCTTAGACTAACATGTTAAAGTAGTAAAAGGCTGACAATAGATGTAATTCATTTCCATTAAGGGGAGCTGCTAACAGAGGACTGTACCTCCACAGGACACCAATCAGACTGTTATAAAACTAAAACTAAGGCTGCTATTCAGTAGGTAGGAAGTGCACCTGTAAATGAGCCTCTTATTAAACTGCAATTCTGCCCCATAAAATTCCACTGGAAGATAGTACATGTTGACAGCAGAGCATAGGACATAGTTAGCGTTCACCCCCGACTCTTCAGTCCCCATTACAGACAAGATTTTGTCCAACAGTGTTGCTGCAAGTGTCTATGTGCACTCTCTTGTTTAGCAAAGAAAAATAAAATATGTCTCACATGCATATTGGATATGGGAACTTTAGGATCCAGACTGCTTTCGGAACTTATAAAGTAAGCTAAGACATGAAGACGGCAGAGCTGAAATGTGGTAACATCATCTGTGATGGGGACAGCTATCAGTTCCTGCTCTCTCAGCATATCAGTCCATTTCCTGCTCCTATAAGAAAACGCCTAGGTTGGGTGACTTTATAAATGAAAGTTTACTAGATCATAGTTTAGGAGGTTCAAGAGCATGGTGCCAGCATCAGCTTGGCTCCGGTGGGGGCTTCGTGGCAGATGGCATCACTATGACAAGAAAATATGTGAGAAAGAGCACATAACCAGACAGAAAGCCAAAGACCTGCCGCAAGTGACTGGGCTTATTCTTCTACATCAGCTGTGCCATGTGTACTGAGAACTACTTTACTATCATGCAGGAGAGCACCAGCAAGACCTAATGACTCCCTCGTCTACCAAGTTCTACCTTTAAGAAGGTTCCATCATCCATCACCAATGCTGCCCTAGAGACCAAGTTCTCAGCACAGGAAGCTGTGGGGCACACACACAAGGTATATGGAAGCCATGGCAGCCAGTACTACACTGCACACTCCAGTACTAGTTTATTTATGTAATCTTCTAAAAGTCTCTCACTGGCATTAGTATTACCTGGCTTTGCAAAGAGCCACTTAGAATAGCTATGACTTCTCTTCCCTATTCAATTTTAGAAATTTGAGAAGTGAAACAAAGCCATTTGGGAGAGACTACTGGTAATCACATACACAGCTAAAATTACTGGATTTTCAAATTATAATTTTTCATGTGACATTTTGTAATAAATATATGAAATAGAGTTTTGTTATATGTAACAAAAGCCTGTGAAATATATCCTGTAAGAAGTACTACACACATAGAAGCACAGATTCTTTATTCATTCAATCTTGTAAAATAATTTTTTGAACTGAAAGGAGAATAAGAAATATTCAGAAGCAAAAATTGAACTGAGATCCAAAGAACTAAAGCATCACCCTGGACTTCAACTTTAAAAGCTTGTGTGAAGATGGATACATTTTGGTTCCAGATTAGATGAGCTCAGTGGATCTGGAGAACAAGAGACAAATCTGAGACTACAATGAAGAAGGAGGTGTCTAATAAGATGCCTACTATAAACCAGGAATTATGCTTCACTGTCCAGATAAATAAGAAGTAAACTTTCACAACCCCCTTACTCAGTAGTTAGTAAGGAAAATTCCCTGTCAAATCTTAGCAGTGAAGGAGAAAAATTATCTCATGACAGAATTTTATATATAAACTAACAATTAAAATTTAAAGGCTGAATTCATGGTACCCAGGTGATCTGAAGGATCTCAAGCTGTGAATTTTTTCATATATTTCTTACCGTGTAATTCATTAAGCAACTTAAAGAAACAAAGTCAAACCAGCCGGGTATGGTGGCGTACACCTGTAATCCCAGCACTTGGGAGGCTGAGACAGGAGGATCATTGTGAATTCAGAACCAGCCTGGGTTACAAAGTGAGCTCAAGGACAGCCTGAACTGCATAGCAAGACCCTGTTTCAAAAAGACAAAAAATAAACAAACAAACAAAAAGTCAAACCAAACCAAAATAAAATAAACAACAAAAAAATCTAAAATCAGTAAAACTTCTTGCTAGAAGACCTCAGTATTAAACTATGCCTCGGGCTGGGGATTTAACTCAACAGCAAAGCGCCTGCCTGGCAAGCGCAAGGTCATGAGTTTGGTTCCTGATGCTGGAGAAAAATAAAAAAAAACCAAAACAACAAAAAAAAAAACTAGGCCTCAAAGAATTCCTACTGATAAAGTTCCAAAAAGAAGTTTTGGTCAAAATGCTTGTGTGCATGCACACACACATATACACACACACATTCAAATATACACACACAGAGGGGGAACAAAGTTATCAGGAGCAAAAGAATAAAAATTAGATAGTAAAAGTCTTCTGATTTGGGAATTACCTGCTACAAACTATAAAATATACTTGTATAATATGTTTAAAGAATAAAAGTTGGAAATTTTGTGAAAAGGGAAAATAGTATAATAATTGTGCATATAAGACAAGCAATGAGACATTACTTATAGAAATTTTTAAATGTAATAAAGGAAATTAAAATTTAATGTATTTAATATTAGTTGACAATCATATAAAATACAGCTAAATAGAAAACATATTCAAACATTAAGACAGAGACTAATATAAGATAAAATATACTCAACAGAAAATTGCTAAAAAGGAAAGAAAGCTGAAGAAACAATGCAGAATGGATTAAGGAGAAATAAAAAGGAAAAAATATGCAAATATTAAAATATGTGGAAGAGACAGTATTAGGATCTAACAAACACAAAATTTGTATAATAAAGAAAAAAGAGAAATAATGAGAGAGGTAATGTCATAAGAAATAAGACTGACAATTTTCTTTAACTGGTGAAAGATATAAATTCACAAATTTAGAAAGCCTGAGGTAAGATAAATAGTAAATAAAATCCAAGTTAAGACGTATCACAGCGAGACAGCTAAACATCAAAAATAAAGCTAAAATCTTAAATACATTCACAAAAGTGAAATAGATTACTTACAGAAGAGCAGAAATGAGTTAGCAGCTAACTTCTTCCTATCCCAAATGGAAGATGGATGTCTTTAAGACTATGTCATCCTATGACATTCTTCACAGAAAAAGATTCCAGGTAGAAATTCTGAAATGTAACCTGAATGATAAGCATGTAAAATATTTATAATGTTAATATTACAGTATGATATAAATATTATATGTATAAGGCAAATTAATGCTATACAACTTGTGACATTAGATGACCATTTAAAAATATCATTGGACAAAATAAAATTTAAGAGGAATATGATCTACCAACAGTGACCTAAAACTATGGTGTGTGTTGCAAAGACACATTGCCTTTCATCCCCTCTCCCTCTCTCCCAATACATGTTTCCCATTGTGCATGCTATTTTCTAAAGCACTTCTGGAAGTCTTCCTTTGTGAGTGTTTTAGAATGGGTGATAAAAGCGTATGGTAAATGCTGTTGCCAAGTGCTGTCCAATGAAAAGACAAGCTGATGAAAATGTCACAATGTGTCCTCATCCACTTAACCACTGGATCTGGCACATGCAAACTTTTGGCTCTTCCACAAAGTCAAAATGGCCATGAAAGGTAAATATTCTGCATCAGTCTAGCACATCAAGACAAGTACAACAATAGAACTGAAGACACTCAGGATAGAGATTTCCAGAATGGTTTCAGAAAATGAGAAGGGCAATAGGGTAAGTATGTTTGAAGGGGAAGGTATTTTGAAGGGGATTAAAGGCAATATATCTTTGAATATAATTTTAGATCATGGCAGAAAGAAAGATATCATGTTAGTTGGTTACAAAAAAATACTATGGCAATATCTTTTCTATCAACATTGATATCGATTCTAAAGATTCTATTTAAACCCCCAGCAATGTTCTGTTTGAAAATTAACAAATTGAATGCAAAATTTGTATGGAAGATCAGAAGGCCACAAAAAACCCAAAGAATACTGGAAATTAAAAGCCAGGGTAGGGGACCTGTGATACCAGGAATGGAGAATTTAACTTGTTTCTCTTTTTAAAATTGGCATGTAGTTCAAATTACCATAAAATTCAACATTTTAAAGTGAATATTCACAGTGTCTTTTTAAAGATTGCACGTGAACTGAGAAAGTAAAGGGTTCCTTCTTCTTATTACTTTCTGTCCATAAGGGATGTGTTCTTTCTATGCTGTCCACATGAGCCCTGAACCTGACATGTTGGGCCATAGTGATCTTTCTGTCTCATTCTGCTGAGTGCCTGGGATTACAGTGCACACAACTTTGCCTAGACTGACTTGTCATTATTCCTTAAAAAATTGTGTTAGTCAGCCTTCTGTCACAGTGGCAAAATCCTTAAGGTAATCAGCTAAGCATGAGGAAAGATTTGTTTTGGTTCATGGTTGGTTGGCTCCATTTTTTCTTTTTGGTACTGGGAAACAAACTCAGGACCTTGCGCTTGCCAGGCAGGCACTTGTGCAGCTGAGCTATAACCCTGGGGCCAACAGATTCAATTTCACCAGGGCGTATTTCTGGAAGTTTCCATCACTTCCCCATAGTGTCACAGGCTGCTGCTGAAGCCTTTAGCACAGGTGCCTTAGAGAACCACTTCAGATTCAAAATCTAAAATTCTTCCCCCAGCCTTGAAAAGCTGATCGCCCAATGTAAAATGCATCTGATGGTCTCCAAAGGCTCAACAGTTTCAAAATTGCTCAAAAATCCAAGCCTAAATCACTTCTAAGACTCAAATCAAATTCTTACCTGCGAACCCCTGTAAAAAACAAGCAAACAATCTTTCGTACTTCTAAAGTAGCCATTCCAATCCAAAAGGGAGAAATAGGAAAATAGCAAAGAAGAATGAGATCAAGCAAGATCAAACTTCAGTCAGGGCAACATTAAATCCATCAAGTCAATGTCTGGCATCTGGTGGTGGGACATAGGCATTCAAAGCCTTGGGAAGCACTGTGCCAAGGCCTTGCTGGCTGCAGCTCAAGAACCACTGTCTTGGGCTAGCTTTGTTTGTTGCCTACCGTTTCCCCGAGCATTTTCCCATGTTCCTGGCATCTCTAACATCCTGTGCTCTCCATCACAGCTTTGACTTCACTCTTAGAGGTTCAGTCACCCTCCTCGCACAGGCTACATTCACGGACTCTGCACTTGCCACCAAGTGCCTTACCTGTGAGGCTTTCCCTTGAAATCTCAGGGGAAGCTTCCATGATCCCATAAATCTTATATTCTGTATGTCTGCAAAACCAGCATTGTATGAATAAAACCAAGGTCTGCTGCTGACTGGAGCTGTGTCCAATCAAACCACATCTGTAATGGCCTCTGAGTGCCTGGTTGGCTGAACCCAGAGAAATAAATACCAAACAAACAACAAACAATTCTTCAAGTGGCCCTGTGCAAGCAGTATGCACCATCTCTCTCTCTCTTTCTCTCTCAAATAAATGTATGAATGAATGAATGAATGATGAATAAGCAGTCTTTGAGACTGCAGCAAGCAGGATCTTGTTGATTCCTGAGATGGTATATTTTTGATTGTCCTGTTATAAAGAATTTGACTTATTTTTAATAGTGCTATAAACTTTGCAACCATGTTCTCCTTGATTGAAACTTTAAATGCATTCCTTTTATGGCCAAACTGTAGCTTTTTGCAATGGTAACTGAAGATCAACTGTATTTGTTTTAAGACTTTTGGCCACATAACTAGGAATGCAATAAATGGGTAATATGCTAAATCTCTGCAGCTTTTTAAGGAATCATCAGCTGCTTCTGACAACAGCTGTACAGTTTCATATTCTAATTAGCAAAGCATGAAGTTTTCAATTTCTTTACAAGTATTTTTTTATTTTCAGTTTTATATTGTAGCCATTTCATTAGGTATAATGTGATATATTATTGTGGTTTTGACTTGCATTTGTCTAATAACTAAGGGCATTAAAGATCTTTTCATGCGTTTACTTGACCATTTGTACCTCTTCTTTGGAACAATGCCTATTTAGATCATTTTCTTAATTTTTATTTGAGTTGTTAATAGTTGCACAACATTAAATATTCTACAGAGCTGTTCCCTACCAGGAAGAATATTTTGAAGTATTTTCTCCCACTTTATGGCTTGTCTTTTTACCTCACACTCTTCATTGCAAAAAACTTTTGATGAATCCCCAAATGTCTATTTTTTCTTCTTTAATCCCTCGTGCTTTGCTATGTATTCAGAAACTTTTGAGTAATTCAACATAGTGAAGATGTTTTTCTTCTAAGAATTTCATAGTTTTAGCTCTTAAGTGTAAGTCCTTCATTTGTGTTAAGTACATTTTTGCTTATGAGTGTGAGGTAGGTCAGAATTTCATTGTTTAGCATGTGGATAATTCAGTTATTCCAGGACCTTTTGTGAAGAGACTATACTTTCCATCTGAATAGTCATAGTGCATTTGTCAACTATTACAGAGCGTATTAATAATTATTTTAACCCACAGTCATTAATGCATTAGCAGAATAATAAGTTAATTGGTAAGTGTACATGTATGTATAAATATATCTAAAGGAAAAATGTGATTAAAATAGACTTTACCTCACACATTACATGAGTTGATTTTACATTATCTGTAGATGAGGAGCAAACCTGTATGAATTTAAAGCAGAAAAATTTTTATTCCAAAGATAAAGTAATATTGTTTTCACATTACTCAGAATCTTCAAACTATAAAAGAATAGAATACCAGTTTTATCAGATTAAAATTAAGATTATAGGCTCATCAAAGATATCAGAATGAGAATGAAAAGATAAGCCAGAAATAATACAGAGACCTTCAAATTAACAAGTAAAACATAAATATCTCAGTAGATAAGTGCAGTTTTATAAAATACGTAATTTGAATGACCAATACACACAAAATACAATGTGCAACCTCATGGGTAAGTGAAAAAATGAAAATTTTGATTATAGTAAGAGCAGGTTCACATCAGATTGGTAAATATTTAAAAGTCTCATAAAACCAAACATTGGCTAGAATCTATCTATCTATCTATCAATCTATCTATCTATCGATCTATGGAATCAAATAAAAACTGTTTCAGTGAATAATAGTACATCTACCTTGGAAAGTAATTTGGCATTATAAGAAAAAAATCAAATTTTCATGTGTTATATATCTTTCATTCCTCTCCTAGGTACAAACTCCAAAGTCTTATGCATGTATAAAATCACACAGATTTCTGCCTAAGAAGAAATGGATAAACAACTTTAGTATAATCATAAAATGAAAAACTATAACAGTTAAAATAAATAATACCCTTCTATTGAACAATATAGAATAATGTAAAATTATAATTTTGAGCAAAAAAAGACACATAACAGTAAATTTTAAGTATAATTCCCATTGTGTGGGATTTATAAAGACCCAGAGGAGGTCACAAATACATATCTTAAGGCAAAATGTCAAGAGGGCAACAAAATTCAAAATTCAGTACAGTAATTATTATCTCTGAAGTTACCAAGAAAAGGTGCAATTGAACAGGGACGTAAGCTATTCTGACGTAATGGCGATAATGAAATGTTTCATTTCTTGCACTATGTTGTTTCTTTACTCCTAACCTCATGAACTAACCTGTAAATTGCTTGAATATTTAGGAAAAGTGATTTTTTTTTGAGAAGCAGAGAGTTTGGAGAATAGTACTTGACCCAATTCTATGCATCAAAACCTAAATCCTTCAGGCTTATCAGATTAAATCAAAATGGATCCTGCATAACTCATCCGTGGCATAATTGTTACCAAATTACATGATTAATTCAGAAGTAATAGGAGTTGATACCTCAGACTTTTGATTTTAGTTCATTTTAGACTGAACATGTTTACCATATAAATAACAGTTGTTCACATACTCTTGTGCAATCTTCCTCTCTTTCTCACATCACTTTAAAGTTCCAAAATTTATTAAGATATGACCTATTTTAGTGTCGATTTAGCCAGTGGTATCCCTTCTCTGTGCTTCTGGCCTGGTCTCTTTAGGATTTGCGGACTTCCTTGCTTTCCAGCATAGCATAAGGTTCTGGCTCCGGGCCTCCACAAAGGAGTAGAACAGATACTAGTATCTATTTCACTGAAAGCAAACACATACTTTGAAGCTGTTACCAGTGTTTGCTATTTTGTTATTGTTATTATTTAGTGCTATGTTTTGAAATTGTCTTCTGAGTTAGTGGCCACATATCAGGCCTCCGTGCATCGATCATAGACAGCTTTTGTCAAGAGAAATCTGCTTGCAAATAAAGTCTCTATGTGTTTAATTACTCTGAATTCAAAGTGGACTATTTAAAGTTGGTAAGTATGTGAACTAGATCTTCCCTTGCTTGCTCTCCCTACTAAGGCTGGTAGGTATAGATGCTCAATTAATACATGAAACATGGTACTGAGTACAAGCACACCTCTGTGTATGCCGGGGTTTGCCCTTGTATAAACACAGAGCTAGGCTGGAATGAGGATGGGGAGGATCTGTAAAGGAGCAGAAACCCAATTTCATCTTCATCTCCTCTGAAAAGCTGATTGGCCTCTATTTTTCTAGGTGATGACCTTTGTCTGAGGATTGAAGGGGCTTGAAATGACCCTCACAAATGCTGTTGTTGAGTTGTTGACTTTCAAAGAAGGATCTTCCCCCTGGCTCCTGCTCCTGGTTCCCACCCCTCTCAGAAAGCAGTGGGCTTTTGAGTGACTTATGCTTCAGTGGTTGAAACTATTGGAGCTGACACAAACACTACGGGCAGACCTTGGAGCCACACGCTCGGCCTGACTTATGTCAACATTGTCCCGATGACAGCATTCCCTTACCCCATCTGCAGCTGCAAGGGAATCCATTATTTTTCCAATCCCGAGGGAAGGAAAAGGTCTCTGGCATCATTACTCCTAGGCAAATGTAACTGACTCTACCGCGTACCCTAATTTGCTTGCCATAATTATAGGTCGTTCACCCGCTTTGTTATTTTCAAACCCCTCCCCTTCTTTTTTGTTCTTATCAATAATTAATGTGGCCTGTGTATTACACTGCTGTAATATTTGGATATTATGAAAATGCTAATAATAACAAGGTAGCGTCAGCGACGCCCTGGTTTTATCAGCTGGTCAGATGCTCTATTAGGCAGCCAGTGAGCAGTTCAAGCAAATTGGTTATGTTAATGTCCTGTAGTACTTGGAAAAGATGAGGAGTTGGCAATTAATTTTTTCCAAGCTTCAGGCCGACAGGCAAATTTATATTCCTCCCTCTCAGTGGGATCAGGCTAAGAGAAGGTGAGGAGGGAAAGCAAGCTTCAAGTAGCTTTCCAGGATCTAATTGAATGGTGCTAAATAAAGCCTAGAGAAAACGAGGGAGAGGGGAAGGAGTGTACCCAACAATGGCAAGCAGTGTTCCTTCCCATTCATTCCACTGACAGGGCTTTTGTAACTTAAACCTGTTTTATTAATTATGTTTGACATTTCCTTAATTAGTTTCATTTACATCCCATCAGCTCCTACCAGACGATAGCTCCATACATCATTTTACTAGAAGAGCCTGATGCCTACAGAATTATAACAACAACAGACACTTTTATGGAATTTACAGAAAATCAGTGGACAACCTTTTCCATTGTACATGATTTTCCAGCCAGGAAAGGATGGACTAGATTATCTGGTAATATTATTTTCTAAATTTCCAAGCTATATCAATATATTAATAAGGTTAAAATCATCCAAATTATAGGTGTTTATGTTCTCAAGTGAATTACCTGCTGTAGATTTTTACTAAATTTTGAAGATTACCAATTAGATAATATAGATGCAAACCTGAGTAAATGAAGAAGGGCCATAAACATAGCAGAAATGGCCTTAGTCCTTGCAACCTAATATCCTCTGCTCTGACCAGTCAACTCTACCTTCTTGGCCTTGCCTGGGAACTCAGCCAGCTCTCAGACAGAGGAGTTTCAAGCTTAACAACCCCTTAAGTACAAAGTTGAACAAACATAATGAATGAATAAATTAAGAGCCCCAGGTCCTGGTCTTATCTGCCCAAATTCACTTTGTAACTATGACATTGAACCCTCTGCCTTTGCTATAAGAATATGGAATAATATAATACATATGATGGTATTTGTCAGCATGAAGTGCTGTGCTCATATAAGGCACTATTTTTGTTGGCATTTGTGTTGTCTGGGTCTTATGTCTGTGATAGAAGTAAATTTCAGGGCTCCTGATGACTGTAATTGTGAGCCTGACTTAAGAGGCTGACTTCTAGTCCTGAGCTGTTTTGCAGAGAGCCCTGAGCCTTCATTTCCTAATCCTCTCTCCTTCTTGGAGCTCACAGTATGAAACCAACCAAATTCCTTGACTGCCAAGCTTCTCCTGGTTAGGATGACCTCACTACTACTCAGCTCCAAGAATGATATTTGCATAAAATTTATATTCAGAATCAATATAAAATTAATGAAGTTTGCCAAAACTGTTTTGTCCAGCAACTAAGAACTCTAAGACTTGGTTATTAATATTACCAGTTACACAAAACCATGTGGACACAGTCTTCTAATGACTGCTACTGCTATCCAGCTTCCACTGCTTGCATTCCCAGAAATTCTCGATATTTTTTATTGAAATTATAATCTAGGGGTATGATGGATATTGGTTTTATAATGTCTTATGGACCAAAAGCCAGTGGAGGTAAATGTGTGGCTGTTTTCCTGGATCTTGTGTATTTGAGGCTGAGCTTCAGGGACAGGATTGGCACTGCTTCCAAGGAATGAACATAGCATGGGCTTCTATTAATTAATTGGTGACTTCTACTTAGGTTAATCCATAACAGTTTAATGAGCGCCAATGAACCAGCACTATCCCATAATTCATTATTGGATATATGAAAGTTTATATTAATGAATCTTTTATTTCTCTAACAACTAAGCATTTTTTTTCCTCTCTGGATCCAACCTTTTTTATTATACTTAAGTTTATTGGTACAATTTAAATATGCATAATGATCACATTCATCATAGGGAATTTGTACCTGTACATAATATATCTTAGTTCGTTTTTCCCCATTTCCCTCCTCTCTCTTCAACCTTTCTTCTTCTACTTATTTACAAAGCCTTGTTTCCATTTCATCCTTTGTTCTCCCATTTTTTCTTCTTCCTTCCATCCCTCTGCCCCCAATTCCCCTTTCCCTTTGAACAATTACTTCCTATTCCACATTATCTATTATAAACTTTGGTTCTTATTTATGTTTTAAGTTTCTCACATCAGAGAGATAATGTGTGTCTGATTTATTCACACTTGTGTGTCTGATTTATTTCACTTAAGAGTAAGGTACATCTGTTTAGCTATAAATCTCTCAAGTTTATTCTTCTTTATGACTGAGAAGTACCTCACTGTATGAAAAAAAACCCACATCTTTTTATCCATTCATCACTTGATGGGCGTCTGGGTTGTTTCCAAGATTTGGCTATGACAAATTGTACTGCTATAAACATGTGTGCACACATATCACTGGGTGTGATGTTTTTAAATCTTCTGAGAAGATACCCAAAAGGGAAATAGCTGGGTCAAATGGAACCTGTAGTCCTAGCTTTTTGAGAAATCTCCACTGTGATTTCTATATTGGTTGCACCAGTCTACAATCCCACCAACAATGGAAAAGTGTTTTTCCCCCCATGTTCCTGCCAGAAATTGTTATTGGTTGATTTGTTGATGATAGCCATTTTTTCTGGAGTAAGATGAAATCTTAGCACTGTTTTAATTTGCATCTCTCAAATGATCAGTTATATTGAATATTTTTTCATGTACTTTTTGTCATCGGTATTATTCATTTCAGATGCCATTGTTTGGATTGGGTCTTTAAAATTGGGGGAATCTAAGTTTTGAAAATTCTTCATATGTTCTAGATATTTCTCCTTTGTCTCCTACCCAAGAGCAAGGGATATCTTTTCCTTTCCTGACATCCTCTTTAAACTCCTTTTTCAGAGTACTATAATTTACAATGGCGAGATCTTTTAATTCCTTTGTTAGATTGATGCTTAAGTACATCATTTTTGATGCTATTATGAAAGATGTGGTTTCCCTAATTTCTCTCTCAGTGAGTTTGTTATTTGTGTACAGGAATGATATTGATTTTTGAGTGTTTGCTTTGTATCCAGCTATGCTGCTGAATATGATTATTAAAAATCTAGAAGTCTTTTGGTGGGGTTTTGGTGGTCTTCTAAGTAGAGTATCATGTCATCTGCAAATAGTGATAACTTCTGCCTTTCCTATTTTTTTGCCTTTTATTTCTTTCTCTTATCTAATTGTTCTAGCTGTTTCCAGGATTATCTGAACAGAAGTAGTGATAGTGGACATCCTTATCTTGTTCTGTGTTTTATTTTATTTTATTTTTCTAAATTAAATTAAACTTTTTTTGGTACTGGGAATCAAACTCAGAATCTTGGGCTTGCCAGGCACACACTTGTGTTGCTGAGCTATCTTCCCAACCACTGTTCCTTATTTTAAGGAGAAAGCTTTCCATTTTTGAACAGTACATGTGATATTTGCTGTTGGTGTGTCATAGATGGCTTTGATCATATTGAGGTAAAGATAATCTATTCCCATTTTCTGTAGTTTTTACCACAAATGGGTTTTAGACTCTGTCACATGCTTTTACTGCATCTGTTGAGATGAGCATAGGGTTTCTATTCTTGGGTCTGTTAATATGGTGTATTATACTTATTGATTTGTGTATATGGAGCCATCCCTGTATCCCTGGGATGAATCCTATTTGTTTATGGTGTATACTTTTGATGACTTTCTGCATTCTGTTTTTCAGTGTCTGTTGAGAATTTTTGCATCTATGTTCATTAGGGAGATTGGCCTGTAGTTCTCTTTTTTGTTGGGTCCTACTCTGGTTATGGTATTAGGGTAATACTAGTTTCCATGAATGACTTTGGGAGTATTATTTTCCTTTCAGTTTCACTACAGAGTTTGAGGAGTTGTAGCATTAGATTTTTCTCTAAATTTGTGGTACAGTTCAGCTGTGAATCCATGAGAATCTGGATTTCTGCATTTCTATTCTTTTTCTTCATTGATAAGTTTTTAATTACATTTTCAATTTCATTGACTGATAATGGGTTATTTATAATTTTTATATCTTCTGGATTCAAATTTGGTAATTTATATATATTTAGGAATCTGTCTATTTCTTCTGTATTTCCTTCTTTATTAAAGTTTCTCAAGGTATTGATGATCTTCTGGGGTTCTGCAAGATCAGCTGTGAATTCATCCTTTTCATTCCTAACTGCATGAATTTAAGTTTTTTCTCTCCTTTTTTGTGATAAGATAGGCTAAAGGTTTGTCAATTTTACTTAAACATTCAAAGAACAAACTCTTTGATTCATTTAATTTTTCTATTGTTTTCTTATTCTCAGTAGCATTAATTTCTTCTCCCTTGTATGAGCTTTGTGATTCATTTGGTTATTTTCCTTGAAGTTTGAAGTTCAACAATAAGTTCTTTATTTAAGCTCCTTCTGGTTTACCAGTGTAAAAGTTCACTGTTATTAATTGTCCTCTTATGACTGCTTTCATTGCATACCACAAATTTTGTCATGTTTTATCAGCATTATCATTTAACTGTATATACTATTAGTTTCTTCTTTAAGTTCTTCTGTGACCCATTGGTTGTTCGGTAGGAAATTACTTAATTTCCATGTGTTTATGGAGTTTTGGTGATTTCTTTTGCCATTGATTTCCAATTTCATGGCACTATGGTCTAATAATATGCAGGGGAGAATTTCAATTTTTTTCCTTTACTTAAGCATACTCTAGAGTCTAATATGTGATCTGTTTTGGGAATGCCCCATGTGCTGTTGAGAAGAATGTGTATTCTGATGTTATGGGCTGGAATACTCTGTAGACATCTACTAAGTACATTTGTTCACAGATTTTGTTTTGTTCTGATAATTGTTGACTTTTTGTCTAGTTGATCTATCTATTCCTAACAATGAGTTATTGATGTCTTCCATTGCAATTATATTAGTGCTTATTTGATTTTACATGTATTTGTTTTATATAGGTGGGTGCCTCTGTATGTGGTGCATATATATTTATGATTGTTATCTCTTCTTGTACTTTTCTCTTAAGAAGTATGTAGTGTCCTTCTTTATCTCTTTTGATCCGTCTTGGGTTGATGTTCACATTGTTTGTGAATAGGCTAGGTACTCTTGTTTTTTTCTGAGTTCCTGTCACATGGAGTATTGGTTTCCATCTTTTGACTCTCAATCTATGAATTTCTGTTTCAGTTAAATGTGTTTCTTGGATGAAGCATTTTGTCAGATCTTGTGTCTTGATCTATTCTGCCAGTCTATTTTTTTTTTTTTTTTTTTTTTTTGGATTGGAGAATTGAGACCATTTATATTGATGGTTACAACTGATATGCATTGACTTGTCTTTGTCATATAATTTACCTGTTGATGATTCCCTGTCTTTTTCCCTCTGTTTAATTGCTTCCCCTACCTGGTGGCTTCTTTCTATTGGTACTTCTGGAATTATGGGCTTTGGATTTTCTTTCTGTAATATCCTTCAGGATTATTTGTAGATCTTGTCTGCTGTTATGAATTTCATCAATACTTTAGTTATCATAGAAATATCTTATTTCACCATTAATTCTGAAAAGTAATTTTGCAG